CCAAAATTATTATACGTTCTCATACATTATAATATATATATATATATATATATATATAAAATATACACTTTTATACATCTATTAGATACGTACGTATACACATTCACGTACCTACATACTTACATATACATACACTTGTATACATACGAGTATACCTAATACATATACACGCTATAAACATACAAATATATTCGTACATAAACCGTGATACAAATATAGATACATACATTTTTACGTAGTATGTATATACAAAGCGTGGGAGTTTGGGAAGAAAAAACGTTTATGGTGACGATGGGGGAAGTATTATTTATGGATGTGTCGGATGTCATCATCTTCTTCATCATCTCCATCTTCATCATCATTATACACTTTTTCATCATCTGCCTAAGTAAAAAGAATATAGAAATCATTGTCTTCATCATCATCATCATCGTTTCTGTGTGTCAACAAGTGTATCAACATTTATTAATATATCAACATATATAAGCAACAAACACGCATATGTTAATATACCAACTTATATCATCTGCAAATGTGGAACTAGCATCTCCAATTAGCCTTTCTCGCGTTCATCCTTCTCTAAATCACCTATACAATTATTTATTTATTAATTTATTCATTCATTAATTTATTCATTCATTAGATAATTAACTAATTCATTCGTACGTTCGTTCGTTCATTCATCTATTCATTCAGTCATTCATCCGTCCGTCCGTCCGTCTGTCTAACCAGATTCATCCACGAGTTTTATCGGGCTATAAAAGTTAAAAGCCTATAGAAGTGACAATATAAAATGCATCCCATACAACAGAACACACCGGCCCATAGTAATATAATGTGACGTAATGGCCTGGCCTAATATAGCGCGTAATATTTAACGTCAAAATTTATTAATGACCTCATCATCTCTTTAGTTATGGCAAGCCATTGTCAGATTGAGCTAATTAACTGCAGCTGAAATGATATTAATGTTTATACATCAGCAATGCAAATATAGTACATCTAACAGCCTAACTAATTAATATTAAATCAGCGCTACAGTAATGAATGGTCGTGTAACCAGATGGAAGATAAACATGGATAGGATAAGCCTGCTGATACGTGCAAAAAAACTGTAGATTTTTGCAAGAGTTGGAGTCAGAATTTTTCATCAGACTCCGGCTCAGGAAAATGTTATTAAATTTTTTTAAATCAACTTATTTTCTGAAATTTTTGTAACATGGTGTTTTTGGGAAAATAAATGTGTGTAGCAATAGGAAATTATCTTTAATACGGAAAATAAATGCTGATTAATGTCAATAAAATCACATAATCTTTTCAGTTTTAAAACATAAAAATATAATAATTTTACTAAGAAGAACAATAACATTGACTGATTTCAAGACTTTTTTTAAGTATTTTCTTTTCAGTAGTGGTGAAGTAGTGAAGTTATGATCCATAAGTTGAACAATTTTTGTCAGTACCTTTCTTTTATAACATTAACATACAGTAATTTTACTTAGAAAAACAACTACATTGACTGATTTCAAGTGTTTTTTTAGAGTATTTTCTATTTATTAGTGATATTAAAGTGAAATTATAATGCAAAAACAAAATTTTTTTTGGGGAGTCGGAATCAGGAGTCTGGAATCGAATTCAAAAATCTTTACTCGGAGTGGTAGAAATTTTTTGAAGGGTCGGAGTTGAAATTTGAATTTTGTTGAGAGGTCGGAGTCGAATATTCTTCCTCCGACTCCGACATTCTGGGATAAACGTTGACACCAGTTCCACTTCCAAGTATATGGTTCCATGTTTGTATACAGATCTTTTATTCGATGTTTACGCTGCAAATATACAAACAAAATAAAATATGTTTGCAAAGTAAATCTTTGAGCCTTATATCAAGCGTAACAATTTTCCAATTTTTTCTTTGTAATTAACCGTTGACAAAAAATTTAATTTGTGAGCTCTTTTTATTTCTACTTTTTTCAAACCGACTCGTTAGCATGGATAAAAATATCCATGCTCGTTATAGTGACAATTTGTATATAAATTTAAGAAGTATGTAATTTAGATAATTTATTTACTGTTGTGCTGTGTGTGGTCTTTAAAATGACTCAAACTTAATTTTTTAAAATATTTTTTTAGATTTTATCATGATTGAAAATTCATTTCGTGGAAATTATGACCTGGTCAACGTAGGTTTAATGCACGAAACATTTTATAAACATTTTAAAACATTCAGGCATTGACATTTATTGCATAGTTATAAATGGTTACAAATGATAGAAAAGATATTATTAAAGCAAACAAATACTCAAATTTTTATAAGTACGATTAATTACAATAGAAATCAGTAACGTAAGTTGTTACACTAGCTAAATATATAAATATAAATTATTTACATGCAAAATCTATGCACCATAAACAAAAAAGAAAGATACCATATTGACCTTGTCTCGCACTCATCGCCATTTTCAAGAACCAAGTACGGTTCTAAGGAGCGAGTCAGAGCTTTAAAATGTTATCTTCCAGTAGGATCGCATCTTTGGCCGTTCGGCAGGTTCTTCCTAAGTCCATAACCGAGGTTTCCAGTTGTTTTTTGTTTAATTGCGTGAATTTGAGTTTTATTTTGTAAAATATATTTCGCTGAAAGTCGAAGCTGAAGACCTTCTGTTATTTTCGTTTGTTTTGTTCAGCGTTTTTTTTCTGTCTGTAAAGTTTTGTAAAATGTTTTTTAAAATTTATACTAGAGAAAACAGAATCGTGCTCTTTATACTTTGTCTGATGTTTGTTTTTGTCATAAATCTATAAATTTTTAATTGAAGGTGTCCAAGCATGCTCTGGGGGCAGGATTTGTTGCATGCAGGAAGCTCTCAACCACTAAACCTGTCAAGGCTGTAGGAGGTGTGCTTCAAACACATTTTAAAATATGTCTTTTGATTCAGCTCATCTTTTTTAGGCTTTTAAACATTTAAAGTTATTGATTATGTGGGGATGATAAATACTAGATATTTATAACAAAAATTGAATTGAAAATCCAGGATCAGCAGAGATATCATCAATTTTAGAGGAAAGGATTTTAGGACAGACAACAGCAGTCAATTTGGAAGAGACAGGCAAAGTTCTTTCGATTGGAGATGGTATTGCAAGAGTTTATGGATTGAAAAATATTCAGGCAGAAGAGATGGTTGAGTTCTCCAGTGGCTTAAAGGTCATCATCATGGATTTTCATTTTAAATATTATTGTTCTGCATTAAAATAAATGTGAAGTTATCATTTTATGTCTTTAATAATTAAATTTTTGTAGCATTCACTTTCTTAAATTTTATTTTTAGCATATAAATAATATTTATTTTATTGGACTACAAATTACTAATCACTTTTTTAAAAAATATGTTATAAATATTCATATGTAGGGTATGGCTTTGAACTTGGAGCCTGACAATGTTGGTATTGTGGTGTTTGGTAATGATAAGTTGATCAAGGAGGGAGACATTGTGAAGAGGACTGGAGCCATCGTGGATGTCCCTGTTGGCGCTGAACTGCTTGGCAGAGTTGTCGATGCACTTGGAAACCCTATTGATGGCAAGGTAATTTTTTACTCTTTCATTTGGATATTCTTTACCGGTGATTATAAAGTTATCAATTTGTTTTTGTATAATCATATTTGAATTTTATTCCACCTACTGACATTGTAGGGCCCCATCAAAGCCAAGAGAGCAAGAGTTGGTGTGAAGGCTCCGGGCATCATTCCTCGAATTTCAGTGAGAGAACCTATGCAGACAGGCATCAAAGCAGTCGACAGTTTGGTGCCCATTGGCAGGGGTCAAAGAGAGCTAATCATTGGAGACAGACAGACTGGTAAGACAGCCATTGCCATGGATACCATCATCAATCAAAAACGATTCAATGACGGGCAGAATGAAAAGTCCAAGTTGTACTGCATCTATGTTGCTATTGGTTAGTTCGCTGTTAGCTTTTTTTCAAAATAATTTTTAAAATATTTTCTTCAATTTTTTTCACAGATAATCAAATTCTGTAAAATGTAGATATTTTGGTTTAATTTCATAATTATTGTTCTAACAAAGTTAAAATGTTTAAGAGCAGTTTATGATTCTGAATTAATTAAAAACACTATGAAAATTAAGAGCCAAAAAAGTGTTGCTGATTTTATTGTATGTAAAGTTGGATTTACATATTTGTTCAAGGGCTAAAGTTGAAGGATGTATGTAGGATACAAGTGTAAGTAACATGTAATGTACAAACTCTTGATGCAAACAGATTTCTTGTTGTGACATATGACCCAATTATAAATAAGCTTGTGCCAAACATAAGATATGAAAAGTACTAAAACAGACACTCAAAATAAAATCATTCACAACGACATTTGATACATGAACATTGTGGGAATAAACACCAATAGGTCAGAAAAGATCAACTGTTGCCCAGATTGTGAAGCGCCTGACTGATGCAGATGCCATGAAGTACACAATTGTTGTGAGTGCCACTGCCTCAGATGCGGCCCCCCTTCAATACCTGGCCCCATACTCAGGGTGTGCCATGGGGGAGTACTTCAGGGATAACGGGAAACATGCACTCATCATTTATGATGATCTGTCTAAACAGGTTGGTTCCATATGTTGATATATTTGTTAGCGTTTGATTTTTTTCACAATTATTTACTTGAATGTTCTGGGTTATTGAACAATAAAAGTAGTTTAGAAGATATTTCAATTTGTTTCATAGGAATTAATAAACAAACGTTATGATCAAAATCTTATTGTCATCGCATACAGGCAGTAGCATATCGTCAGATGTCGCTGTTGCTGAGACGTCCTCCAGGTCGCGAAGCCTACCCAGGCGATGTCTTCTACCTGCACTCACGTCTGCTGGAACGTGCTGCCAAGATGAACGACACATTCGGTGGTGGATCCCTTACTGCCCTGCCCGTCATCGAGACCCAGGCCGGTGACGTATCTGCCTACATCCCTACCAATGTCATCTCCATCACTGATGGGCAGATCTTCCTTGAAACTGAATTGTTCTATAAAGGTTTGATGCCGATGTGTTTGATGATGATGAGGATGAAGATAGAAAAATTGATGCTGGTGATGATGAAAACTGAAGTTGATGAGCAGATTAATAGACAAATACTTTCTTAATGCAAGGTATCAGACCCGCCATCAATGTGGGCTTGTCTGTGAGTCGTGTAGGATCAGCTGCACAGATGAGGGCAATGAAACAGGTGGGATTTAAAGTTCATTATTCATTCAATCGGGATTCTTCAACCTCCAGTATAAGTTATGATTTTCAATTTGTACTCACGATTTTTTATCTGCCCAATTACTCTAGTTTGTGTTGGCAGTTTTTTTTACTATTTCCACAAACTTGTGTCATATTCTTTCATCTTTATTATAATCTACCTAGATGATGTTTCAACGTACGTAGGTGGCAGGTTCCATGAAGTTGGATCTTGCACAGTATCGTGAAGTCGCTGCATTTGCTCAGTTTGGTTCCGACCTAGATGCCGCCACGCAGGCACTTCTTAACAAAGGAGTTCGCCTAACTGAACTCCTCAAACAAGGACAATATTGTAAGTGATTGAGGAGGATCTATTTGATTTTTAAAATACTGAGCTATGATAATATGATATAGTTGGAGGACTGAATGTTATAGTTGGATGCAGATGAATTATTTTATTAAATCTGTCAATGAAATGACAGGTCCAATGGCAGTAGAAGAGCAGGTGTGTGTAATTTACGCAGGAGTGAGAGGTCACCTCGATAAGGTCGATCCGTCACGCATCACTGCTTTTGAAGTGAAGTTCCTCGAGCACCTCAGGAGTTCTCAGCAGGATTTGTTGAAAGCCATAAGAGAGGCAGGCAAGCTGACCGACGAGACTGACGCTCAGTTGAAGAAGGTGGTCATCGATTTTCTTGCCGGGTTCGATGCCTAACTGAATTAATAGCTACAACAACAATGATGATGGGGAAGATTATAATTGAATAAATAAATAAATATTGTCAAAGATTATGCTGATGATGGTTATTGATGTAGACGACAGCCTGTAATGTTATGCCACCATTGTCAATTACAATGTTGTTAGATATTTATTTAGATAAATTAAACTTTTTTTTTTTTATTCTAAGTTTATCAGGTTGATGATGTCTAATTGTGTTAAATATTGCTAGGATTCGTTTTGAAATTTCAAGTTTATTGTAAAAAATAAACGGAAAAAGAGTTTCTGTTACGTTTCTACTCGCAAAAGAGGTCTTCAGTTCATTAATTACTGCAAAATGCAAACTGGACCTTCTTCGGTTATATTGCGTGGGCATTTCGATGCGGAGTGACGACATTGAAATAAGCTCGTAATTTCCTGGCAATTTTCTTGAAGCTGCGTTAGGTCAAGCCTTGAAAGCACAGTGATGGTGGGAGGAGTTTGTGAGATGATGAAGTTGATGCGAGGACTGATAACAATGTTATCAGTAGTATATGGAGTGAAGAGTTCGCTGATGTACCCATGTGCATCTGTCCAATTTGCAGCTTTCAGAACGTGATGTGGCAATAATAAGGGCGAAATATAATTTTTTTCTATTTTCGTCTAATAGAATTGGCAGGCTGTTTCGTTCGTTCATTCATTCATTCATCCAATCAACCATACATTCGGTAGGAAAACAACCTTGTTTCATGACTACTTCATGGTGAAAAGAACCAAAGATAGGTTGAGTGGAACTATTACAATAAAAAAGAAGTACAACAATGAGGTGTGTGGAGTGTGGTTAGAACGTACGTACGTCGTGCGGAGGAGTGGAGTTACAACTCAGATGACTGCTCTTGAATTATGCTGTGAACGCTTGAGAGCTTCTGAATCAACGGCGCGTAGGACGTTATATAAACGTTCCCATCATCCATAAATGTGCTGATGTGAGTGAGCAATATGATGGAGAAAAAAATGTTGTGATGACGTCATATCATGGTAGCGGTAATGAAAGTAAAGGGAATGAATGAACAAAAGTGTAGAGTGCAATAATGAAAAATTTTGTCGGGTGGGTGCCCGTGAGTGATTTTTTAAGTGAAATTATCCATTTGATATTCCTTCGGTCATCTCCTTTTCAGCTCTTCATCTTCATTGTTATAATTACTTTTATACTCATTCTCATTCTAGCTATTTAGCAGAAAGATGGAATTTGCACTACTCTTTTCTACTTTCCTCAATAAAATCTGACAGAACAGAATTTTGGCACGAAAAAAATACTTCAAGTAGGTTTTATAAACCTCGCAAGCTTCATTTTCTCTCCTCTTCATCCTCTCTCTCCTCCTCTTCATCATAATTGAAAAAAGTCACGTGCATGAGATGTCGTCTATCCAGTCACTCATTCATTCATTCGGTTATTCGTCCATTTTTTGTTTCATTCATTAACGCAAAATTTCATTCATCCATCCATCCATCCATTCATTCATTCATTCATTTATTCCTTCATTCATTCTTTCATCATGTTTAAATGTTATTCCGCGTGAAAAAGCAGACTTTTTATTTATGCATCCATCTTTCGAAATCTTTCAAGAGATTTTAAACAAAAAAAAAACAATCACAGAACGAACAAACAACAAACAAACTAAAAACAATAAATAAACAACGAACAAACAACGAACAAACAAACAAACAACGAACAAACAAATAACAAACATATAACACAGTGAAACAACAAAACATAGAAATAACAAACATGCAACAAAGCAATGAAACAAACAAAATAATTAAAACAATTTAAGTATACGTACAAAAACATATTTTTACGCAAACAAAAACTTTATACACAAACGTGAAATACACCTATACAATACTTTGCATACAAACACAAAAAATATACATTAAGACACATACAATTAAATACAAACAGAAATTTTTTTTATACAAACACGCAACTCACTTTAATCTGAATTTACAACTCAACAAACGCGTTTGTATATATAAAGACACACCCAAACCACACACTCACACATACACACACTCACACATACATACACACACTTATATATACAACACATACAAACATTGGGTATATGCGCGTGTATGTATTGTGTACAATTGTACATATATACGTTTGTATCGTATTATATTGGATGAATAGTATACATGTTGGTATACAAATAAATACAAATGTTCATTGTGATTTATGATTATTTAGTCAACATTTTTCCAGGTGACGGCGATGATGAAGAAGAAGATGCTAAAGATGATGAAGAAAATGATGAAGATGATGATGATAACGTTAATGATAGCGATGGTTCTGGAGAGTACTGATATTGGTGATGCTGAAGATGATGATAATGGTGAAAGTTAAAAAGATGATGTTTGTAATGGTGGAAAAGTTAATTCAATGAGGTAATATAGATAACTTGGGATGATGTTGAATTGAATAAGATGATAAAAAATTCTGGACGGTGTTGAAGAAAAAGATGATGAAGAAGAAGAAGAAAAAGAAGAAAAGAAGAAGAAGAAGAAGAAGAAAATGATGATGATGATGAGAAGGAGGATAACGACTTTAAGGATATTGATAAACTGCAGTAAATTTGTCTGCCTTGGAAAATAAATATGTTAACATGGCAAACGGTTGAGAGTTTAATTCAATTTAAAATCACCGTGTGAAAGAATTGTGTTGCTACATTCGAACTAGTAGCCTATTCAATAAACCATCTTACATACCATCCGGCCAATCAACCGATTAATCAATCCACCAGATCAGTCAACCAACCAACCCATCAGCCATTCGACCAACCAAACAGTCAATCAAACTGATCCAAAAAAATTTCAATTTCACAAACATTCAACAACAATGCCTTTAATTAATTGCATTTATATAGCGCAAAACAGAAGAATTTTTATGTAACTCACAAACAGTTAATATTTAAAACGCGGCCTCTGCAACTTTCCGATAAGAAAATTTTTATGGTTTAAAAACATTTTTTCATTGCTTTGAAATTAATTTCACGTGAAATTTATCTTTATTGAGCAAATGTATGCTTTAAATTAAATGATCTGTTTCGTACTTTCGTGTGTATGTTTGTCTGTGTATGTATGTATGTACGTGTGTGTGTGTGTGTGTGTGTGTGTGTGTGTGTGTGTGTGTGTGTGTGTGTGTGTGTGTGTGTGTGTATGAGGGTATATGTCAGGTAATTCGATACTTTTTAGACAGAAAAATCGTTAATTTTGAAGGTTAAGTATTTTTCATTTGTGACCATTTTAAATTTCAAAGCTTTGCTTGATTTTTAATTAAGTTTGAATTTAGAACTACGTTTTACCGTTTTTCGCTTGTTTGTAAGTTTTCAAACATTTACTTGCTCAGTCACCACCCTGTTTTGCATATTTTGAAACGTTGTTGTTCGTTTGAGTGATTCAAAAAAATGTCAAAAAATGGTTTCATCATTTTTAACTTTTAAAAGATAGATTTATAAAACAAAAAATAATATTGACATAATTTTTACTATAATAATTTTTATTTGCCGGCATGAAATTATGTAAATCTTTTCAACAATTGATTTTTTTTTATTCTGAAAAAATTGCTCCAAGACACTCAGACCTCAAAATTCGGCACTGAACATCATTATTCAGCTTTACCTATGTAAATACTAGTAATTAATTAGGTATATGTAATATATATATAAAATTATGTGTAATGCCATAATACATATACATGCATATTTGTGAATAAAATTCCGCTTTCATATAAGCACAGTTTTAAGAAATACTAAGTATTACCGCAATACTTTCAAAAATGAGTATCGCTATTGATATCGGCAATCCCTTTTAAAGCCGGTACTGGTATTGTCGATATATTTTATAGGTATTGAGGTATGTTCAATGTAAAAACATAGGCATGTTTGTTGGTATGTACGTATTATACAATATGCCTACGTATGTGTGTAACATTGTACGTGTGTAATGCTCACATGTGTGTGTTTGTATGTGAGCTTGTATGTATGCATTTATGTATGTGTATAAATATATATGAGTTTATATATACATGCAGATACATATATGCACACATGAATACAGTGTAGCTCCGTATTGCGTCGATCGTTTCAGACACTGAGCTCGAGGAACGTGCGATTTGTACATCCCTACATGCGTACAACCATCCGTACACATACACATTTGTTTTCCGCACGCGTACGTTGTCTGAAGGTATTTGTACGCTGTATCTTGTATACTGTATCTTGTATGCATACAAGTTTTTACATCGGTTTGTGCGGTAATAATAACTTGTGCGCGCGTGTATGCGCGTGTGTTTGTGAACAAAATTATAATCATTTGCGTGTATTCATTGAACGTACTTTCACCCCCCATCACATTATCATTGTCATCGTCATCAGCAGCATCATTTTCGTCATCATCATCATCATCATCATCATCATCATTATTACCATCCTTGCTATCAACATCATCAACATAGTATATCTTCAACATCATTATAACCATCATCACCACCACATCATTCCATCATCATCACTATCGTTATCATCATCATCAAAACCATCGTCATCATCGTCATCGTCATCACTGGGTTGACTTTATTGTACTGTCGGTTTATAAACGATGGATGAAGGAATGTATGAATGGATGGACGTACGGACGGATGGATAGATGTGTTCGTTTCTTGCATTCTATTTTGTTTAATATTAATTAATTAATAATAACAGTTGAGATAATAATAGCAATTATTATAAATTATTATAACAGAAAGAGTGCTGATATAAACAACTATTAATAACAACATTAATTATTTAGATAATTAATTCTTCACTTAATTACAACAATAATTAATAGTGACAATAATTGTTGACAACATTAGTTGATATTAACGACAAAAGTAATAAATAAATGATAAATAAAAATATGATTAATTGGAAAAAAAATAATTGTATTAATGTATTGGAATAACTTTTTGCAGTTGTCATCGTCATCGTCATCATCACCATCATCTTCATCATCATCAACGTCTTCATCATCGTCATAAACATTAATCTTTGTTAATTGTAGACAAAATTCCGGATATTGTTATTGATGATAATGTTGTTGTTGTATTGTTAAAAGTAAAAAAACAAACAACACATGCTCGCATGAAGAGATGTGGCTTAAACGGTTTGTTGTTGCTGTTCATGATTTGTTTATTTTTTGTGTTGTCTTTAGGTTATTTTGTTTTTGTTGTTGTTTTTTATGTAGTTTTGATGTTGTTGTTCGTTTGGTTGTTTTCGTTGGTTGATGT